GCTCACTGGAAGGACAGATCCTGAAGCTGAGGCTCCAATACTTTGGCCACCTCAGGAGAAGAGAAGACTCCCTGGAAAAGGCCCTGATGCTGGGAAAGATGGAGGGCACAAGGAGAAGGGGACAACAGAGGACAAGATGGTTGGACAGTGTCCTCGAAGCTACCAGCATGAGTTTGACCAAACTGCGGGAGGCAGTGGAAGACAGGAGTGCCTGGCGTGCTCTGCTCCATGAGGTCACGAAGAGTCGGACACGACTAAATGACTAAACAACAACAACAACAATGGCGGCAAGTGGTTCTTTTTTCTGCTCACATGCTACATGACTCATATGTGATTCATGTAAGCCACAATTTATCTCTGGTCCCCTACACATGATTTTTTTGGGGTGTGTGTGTGATGGTGGTTGCTTTTTTTATTCAGAAACAACAGCAACAGGAAGTTGGGGACAAGCTCTCCTTGAGAGCTGTAAGCCACATGACGGAACAGCAGGGAATTCTGGGAAATCAAGCTCAGAAGCAGAAGTGGACCAGGGTGCGGGGAGAGCAAAGCAAGAAGCCACATGGCCAAACAGCTGTTTTCTCCCTGCATTTGTTGCCTGGGCTGACTTCTGAATGGGTCGTGGTGGCACCTGGCGTTGGCTGAAGCCTCATTTATCAGGGCCTCGGGTTAGGAAACGGGAGGTGAGAGGGAAGAAATGGGAAAATGGAAAGCATGAAAGGAAGCAGGGGAAGATAGACTCTCTTCCCCCAACCCCCTTTTCACACAACCCCTCCCCACAATCTTAAATGTGCTGATAGAGCTCGTTGTAATTAATAAGGACCAAATCTAGCCGGGGACTCATAGAGGGCTGGAGACCGCTTCTCGTTTATCAAAGTCTTCAGTGTCAAAATGCCAAGCAGGAGTGGGGAGGGGTGTGTGTGTGTGAAATTCCAGGCATTAGAACAGGAAGTTAGAAACCTGCTCTGCAGAACCAAAAAAGAGACCGAAGGCTCAGTGGCCAAAGATTCGAAAGGAAGGCCTGAGCTTCAAAGATGCACTGATTGCATTTCTATCCCACCTTTTCCTCCAAGGAGCTCAAGGTGGTGTACATGGGTCTCCCCTTCCTCGTTTAATCCCCACAACAACCCTGTGAGGCAGGGTAGAGAGGCAGCAAGTGGTTCAAGGTCACCCAGTGAGCTTCGAGTGGGGATTCAAACCCTGGTCTCCCAGGGCCTAGTCTGACACTCTAATCAATACACCACGCTGGCTCACCACATAAAGATCAGCCTGGGCGTTTAATGATCTTGCTCCGGAGCTCCGGGGGTTCTGTCTAAGTGGGGAATCTGTGGATTGGGGAGCAGTGCATAGTCAGTCATTTGGGGATTTTTGACATCCTCAGTGTTTAGAGTTTGAGAAGTGGGACCAGGAAGGAAGTCTTGCTGTATGGCAGCAGCGGACTTTAGTCTTTCAAATTCCAGCGCCTCCTTGTGCGAGGCCAAATTTTGGCACCCCCTTGCCTTCTGTTCTGCTCAATACTCTACGCCATGGTTGCAGCACCCTGTGGCGTCCCAGTGTGGTGGAACCAGTTGCGCTGCCCTAAATTAGCCTCTGACGACAGGGCTGTCTAACCTGAGGCCCTGAAGATGTCGGTAACAAAAACCTGAGTGCTATGAGTTGTGTTCCATGACAAATTCATGGAAAATAGGGCTACTGGTGGCTACTAGCCACTTTGGCTATGCTCCACCTCCATTGTCAGAGACCATGTGCCCCTGAACACCAGTTGCTGTGAGTCACAAGCAGGGACAGCATGGTTGCGCTCAGGTCCGACTTGCCTTCTTCTCACAAGCATCTGGTTGGGATGATGGACTAGCTGGGCTGTTGGCCGGATCCAGTGTCAGGAGTGAACCAGAGCGAACCAGCGATAAATCACACAGAGTGAAGTGAACTCTTTATTAGAAGAAAAACCGATCTGCTCAGGAGTGCCAGGCCTAGTGAGCACAGCAACTCTTCTCTGGTAGGTCTCGCCCCTATGAGGCAGTTGTGGAGACTGAAGGTCCTCACTTTCCCACAGCTGCCTAAATCTCCTCCTCTCCTGGGGCTTTCCCAAGCAATCTGAGACTATGCCGGTGTCCTGCCTTTGTTCCTCCCGCTGCATGCCTCTTCTGGTTCTGGGAGACCAGAGCAGAAGGGAGCTTGTTGCAGCAGGAGAGAGTGACATCCTGGCTTCTTCACCAGCGGGACTCATCTCTGCTTCTTGGCCTCCCTCCTCTCCTGATTCGGCTTCTGATTCTGATTCTCGACTTCCCTCTGCCACAGACTCACCCTGTTCACTAAACCCTGTTACCTCTTCAGCTTCCGACACCTCCTCCTCCCAGTCTTCTCCCTCTGACCATTCCTCATTGTCCCACCACCACTCCCTGAGCTCTGAGCCTTTGTCCCTTGGGGATTCCCCAGCTAGTTCCTTCTGCCATTCCTCTGCGTCCAACCAGCCCCTGATATCCAGCAGGGCTCTCCTTGTTGTTGTTTAGTCGTTTAGTCATGTCCGACTCTTCGTGACCCCCCTGGACCAGAGCACGCCAGGCACTCCCACTGCCTCTCACAGTGTCTTCCACTGCCTCTCACAGTTTGGTCAAACTCATGCCGGTAGCTTCGTGAACACTGTCCAACCATCTCGTCCTCTGTCGTCCCCTTCTCCTTGTGCCCTCCAGCTTTCCCAACATCAGGGTCTTTTCCAGGGAGTCTTCTCTTCTCCTGAGGTGGCCAAAGTCTTGGAGCCTCAGCTTCACGATCTGTCCTTCCAGTGAGCACTCAGGGCTGATTTCCTTCAGAATGGAGAGGTTTGATCTTCTTGCAGTCCATGGGACTCTCAAGAGTCTCTTCCAGCACCATAATTCAAAAGCATCAATTCTTCGGCGATCCACCTTCTTTATAGTCCAGCTTTTACTTCCATACATCACTAGAGTTCTCCTTATGTTCTTAATAACAGAAAAGAAACAAATTTCCTCCAGTGTGTGGTCATACTGGCTTTGTATCAATAGTGAATCCACAGGAAGCCAGAACATTATGAGAGCTGGTGCAGTGCAGTGGTTAAAGTGTCGGTCTAGAACCCGGGAGACCAGGGTTCGAATCCCCACTCAGCCATGAAGCTCCCTGGGTGACCTTGGGCCAGTCACTCTCCCTCTCAGCCTAACCTACCTCACAGGGTTGTTGTGAGGATTAAATGAGGAAGGGGAGAGGAACCATGCACGACTGCTGGAGCTCCTTGAATAAAAAGATGGGGTAAAAAAAGGTAAAGGGACCCCTGACCATTAGGTCCAGTCGTGGCCGACTCTGGGGTTGCGGTGCTCATCTTGCTTTATTGGCCGAGGGAGCTGGTGTACAGCTTCCAGGTCATGTGGCCAGCATGACTAACCTCAGGTTAAGAACAGTTTCAGGTTAAGAATGGACCTCCAGAACAAATTAAGTTCTTAACCCGAGGTACCACTGTAGAGGGATCCCTGACCATTAGGTCCAGTTGTGACCGACTCTGGGGTTGTGGCGCTCATCTCGCTTTATTGGCCGAGGGAGCCGGCGTACAGCTTCCGGGTCATGTGGCCAGCATGACTAAGCCGCTTCTGGTGAACCAGAACAGCGCACGGAAACACCGTTTACCTTCCCGCCAGAGCGGTACCTATTTATCTACTTGCACTTTGACGTGCTTTCAAACTGCTAGGTTGGCAGGAGCAGGGACTGAGCAACGGGAGCTCACCCCGTCGTGGGGATTCGAACTGCCGACTTTCTGATCAGGAAGTCCTAGGCTCTGTGGTTTAACCCACAGTGCCACAGGGGTATGAATGCAATAAATAAATATTTTTAAAATGTTGATTGGAAGTGCACCATGTCCTGGCCTTGGTGGAGCAAATAACTCCAGGAGCCCCTCCCCCCCTTTGAGCGAGCTGTTAAACTTATTAGATTCTTGTTAGCCGCTCTTTTGCCTTCACCTCCCCACCTCTATCTCCAGCTGCCCCTCCTCCAAAGCAGCAACGTGTTGGGAATGGTGTTTACGAGATATAAATCAAAGCGGTGCTCAAGTCAAAAGGTTGATGCCATCTAAAACATATTCTATGTATCATCGGTAATATGATTTCATAGGCGCCATCCATCAAGCACCAATCCCGTCAGCTGCTTTTGTTGCCTTCAGATAATTAATTACCAGTGGTAAAACAACAATGCAGTAATAATATAATAATAATAATAACAATGCTAATCACTGAGCGTCTGAAGACCCACACGCAAGCCTTTGTTGCTCTTAGAAATGAAATCCAGAAACCCCTGGGATGTGGAAGACGGAATTACGCAGCAAGATTGCTGGCGATTGCTGCATCCCTGCTCTTATTTAAGGCCGAGCGTTTACTGTCGGACAGACATACTTGGGCCACTCAAGTTGCACAGCGTGTTGAGCGAAATATGCACCGTCTCATATTTCCACCCTCAGCTGCTGTTCCTTTTCTGAGCTCAGAAATAGTTACTTAAACAACCACCACTTTGCAGCGTAATTCTGCATACTTCCCCCAGGTATAGGTGGCCCATTGCACTGATACTCTGGCCTGTATTGGTTGCTGTAGCCCAATTGTCCCTAAGCTGGTGCCCTCTAGACGTTGGACTTCGATTCCCAGCAGCCCCAGCCAGGATGGCTGTATCTTTCCTGCCCACCAGCCCCAGCACGATATAGCTATGCTGGCTGATGGGAGTTATAGTCCCACTACATCTGGGCAGAAACCAGCTTGCCATTTCCTAGGTTGTCTTCTCTATGGTCTGTCTTGTCGTTCTAGGAACAAAGTTCTATCATTTTAACACTTCCCACTCCAAATAGCATTGCCTTTGCATCCAGTTCCCTTATCCTCTTAATTGCAACCAAAGGGAGGGGAGAGAACATCGTGGACAGGAGTACAGTGATATGGGGGAGAGGATTAAACCCTATCCCCAAATGCACAGTGGAAATCACCCCCCTCCAAAATCTGGGATTGGGGAGATCCTGGAATCCTGGGGTGGGCATAGCTCAGTGGTAGAGCAGCTGTTTTGTGTGCACAAGGTCCCAGGCTCAATCCCTGGCATCTCTAGGTAGGGTTGTGAGAGACTCCTTTTCTGAAATCCTGGAGAACTGTATCCAATGCAAGTCCTACCCAGAGCAGAAAATAACCAATACAATGAACTGGAGTCCATCAATTTCAACCTTAGAGGCAGCTCCAGGAGTCAAAGGAAGCAGTGTCTTCCCTTGCACACCTGAGATAATGGGAAAGATGTTCTCTGCTGGACCAAAGGCACCAACTTCTAAGGCTTGAGCATAAACCAGAACATCTCTGCTTGGAAAACTGGATGCCTGGGAAACCCAGTTCCAGTTGAGCTGGAGACTGTGGGAATGTTCAGGGAGCAGGAGAGGATATATTGTTCAATTATATCCTTCCCAACTTGTGTTAACAAGTTCTACAATTTAGCAGAGTAACATTCCCCTTTTAAACTTACACAGCGGATAACGTTTTTGCCAGGCTTGTTTAAGCCTCTAAAATAAGTTTCCTGGTAATTCCCCTTTATTCTCTCTTAAAAAGAATAGACACGACACAGTCTTGTATAAAAGTATAAAATAGTTTACTCACAGTTTCATTCTGTTCACAACAGAATCCCTGAAGGCAGACTTGAGTTACAAAGTAAATACATGTGGAATCTATCCCATAAGAAGATAGTTCCTTTGTCTCCTCTTGGCTGGAACCCAAGAGAGCATCTCAGGCTGATGCTACTTCGACAAAAGCAAAATGGAGAAGAGAGAAATGTGGTGGCCAGTCCTATGCCTTTGTTACCTGCACAGGTAAAGTCACGCCCACCTCTGGTCCAGGTAGAGGAAGTTTGTCCCAGCACAGGAGGAAACAGGAAGTTTATATACTGGCTGGACAAACATCCTTCTTCATGTCTAAACATGTCCACTCTAGGAATGTTGTATTTGACTACTCTGTGTTTCACACCCCACAGTGACCTGGTATCTCTCGGGTCTAGAAAGGGACACGGTGGTACCATCAGGGTAGGACTCTCAGGTGGAGCTGGGGCCTCACTCAGGAGAGAGAGCAGGAGCACCCCCCCAAAAAAAACAACTGCAACACATTTTGAAGCAGATGGAGGAAATGCCTGAAGAGGGGAAGGCCCCATAATAACAAGACCCCAAAGTCCAGGGCCTAGACGTTCCCTAACTTGCACCACCAGACAAAAAGCCCAGGCTCCTCATTCGCTCAGGGCGATATCTCCCTCCTTGCTTCTCTCTCATTATTATGATACCCACACAGTCGGCCAGGCAGCGTCTCATAACTCACTGCCTTTATGATGAAGCCCAGCAGTTGTTTTGGAGACAGGCACGCGGCTCGACAGCAGCCCCAGAGGCGAGGCCACGGAGCACCCCCTCCCGCCCTCCGCTAGTTAACCGGCCAATTTCCCCCCCAACCTCTCCCCGCCACTCCTGTTTCCCTGAGTGAGTCGGGAGGAAATTTATGGCAGCGGGCGACTGCTATGGGCAAACTCTAATAAAGTGCTGTTTTGTTGCAATTTGTTTAATTGGCCACAGAAGGGATGCTGAGCGCCGTGCGAGCGCCGAGCCCTCGATGCATCCTGCCCCGTCTGCAGATGTTCGCGACAGGGAAGCGCATCTTCGGTGTTTATGTGCAAAGCGAAGAGTGGAGAGACTCACACGCGGCCCCCACCCCGCCAATTGCGATTAAGTCTCCCCCACTGGAGCGGATCGGGCAGATTGATTTAATGCACATTTAATCTGCCAGCTTCGGGGATTTGATATATACACAGATAGATGTAAAAAGTGGTGCGGGGGTGTGTGTGTGTCTGACAACCACCCTATCCCCACCCAAAAGAAAGAGGCGACCCACAGAATCTACTTAAAATCAACACAGGTGATGTTTTTCACCTTCTCTGGGCAAGTGATCTTCTTCTGGACAGTTCCTTTGCCTTTGCAAGGCTCCATCAGTGCTGGACTGTTCCCCTTGCTTGCATTAGTCACTCTGAGTGCTGGACAGCTTCCCTGCTTGCTTGAGGCTCCCTTTGCCTGCGCTAGGTTCCCTGTCTGCTGGACAGCTCCCCTGCCAGTCTTAGGATCCTTGACTCCTAGACGACTCTTTTGCCTCACTTAAAAGATGGACGGTAAACTTTCAGGAACCTACTGCATTGGCAGAACTTGGCCCCATTCATCTGCCCCAGCTGCAACGAAACATGTCTCTCCTCTACTGGTCTCTACAGCCACAGCAGGCGCTGTAACTCTCTAACGGTTGGACCAAAGGCACACTCCTCCATTGTCGATGCCAGCAAGTGCCAGTGGTGGGTGGGGCCAGAGGCAAAACATGGGGGGGGGGGGCAACAGGTTCAACCTTTACTTTTGTTTCGTAGGCTATATTTCTTTTTTTTTTAAAGCGTTTATTAATTTTCCAATAAGAACATCCAATTAACATATCAAATCAAATCCAATAAAAAACAACAACTAAAATTTAAAAAAGTCCAATTGTCTTCCAAATTGTAATAATTTTTTTGGTTTTGGCTTCCCACGGTCTGAATTCCGAAGCGCTTTCAACATCATAGTCCTGCCTCTCATCATCACCAATGTTTTTCGTAATTCCATATCGTGATTTTTCGTAGGCTATATTTCAGCCACACAAATGCCAGAGGTTTATAGCACAGCCTCCACTCACATCTCTCTATCCCAACACTAACATGGTACGCCTGTGGTAATTGTGGAGAGTCCAGAGAGATGAGTCCGGTTGAGAAGCATTAAGCCCCTGGGTTTCGTAAGTTTCTTGTGTGGCACCACGGGTGTTTATCTCAGGGGTTCCCCCTCACCACTGCCCTGACTCCCACTGGTTCTCTTTCATGCTGCTTTCCGTGGTGGGGTCCTCTTTCAAGCAGTACATTCTGGCACTGTGACAAGTCCTGATCTCTGCCAGACATTGTTGGATTCCACCTCCCATGAGTCTTAGCCAGCATGGCCAATGGCCAGGGATGATGGGAGGTGCTGTCTGGAGAGCGCCACATTGGCTATAAAGAGCTAGACTATTGAAAATCTGAAAACAACAACAATTTATACCCCACCCATCTGGCTGGGTTTCCCCAGCCCCTCTGGGCGGCTCCCAACAGAATATTAAAAACATGATAAAACACCAAACATTAACAACTTCCCTAAACAGGGCTGCCTTCAGATGTCTTCTAAATGTCAGATAGTTGTTTATTTCCTTGACATCTGATGGGAGGGCATTCCACAGGGTGGGCGCCACTACCGAGAAGGCCTTCTGCCTGGTTCCCTGTAGCTTCACTTCTCACAGTGAGGGACCCGCCAGAAGGCCCTCGGAGCTGGACCTCAGTGTCTGGGCTGAACGATGGGGATGGAGATGCTCCTTCAGGTATACAAGGCTGAGACTATTTACAAAAAGACAATTGCAGTGAGTTGTTCAGCAGTCAAGAAAGCCTTTCCCTCTCAATTCATGGAACAAACATCCAGCAAGTCAAATCCCCATTTCAGTTCTTATTCTTTTTCATCTCTTTGAATATCTGGTGGGGTTTCCATCTTTTTATGCAGCTGGATTTGACGGCATTCCAGGACTGATTACTGACCTCTCCGTTGTGCTTCCATGGAATCATGATCTTATTATTTGAAGCATTGTTTTTATCTCTCTGCAACAGCCGTTTCTCCACTCTGCACCATTTTCTTCCTTAAGTTGCGGACCATAAGATGTCAAGCAGGCAAGCCATTGTTCGTCTCTGTATCTCTCAAACATTTGTATTGTTATATGCAGCAAAACAAAACAAAAATATTTTTTATGAATAAATAAATGTGCACAATAAAAAGTTACATGTTAAAGTTTATACAGTCGTTCACGGTCTTCCCGAAAATGGCATCGACATTTTATGGAAAAAACGACGTCACAGGTCCTGGCCAGTAGGCACTCTCTACAACTACCCTTTCCCCACTGATTCTCGATTAAACCCCAAAGCTGACTGACATTCGCTGCCTCCCATATTTTGGTCCTGGGGAGCCAAATGTTACTCTGCCTGTAGAGCTGCTCTCAGGCTGCTGAACGTCTTCATTCCGAGAGGTCTTGTGATTTATTTGCAACTCGTGCGATTTTTCTCCGCTCCTTGCGTTCCGCGTGTGGGGAAGGGAAAAAAATATATTCAGGGGGCTCCTAGCAGAGGCTCCGTCCCTGAAAGGTGCTGTATTTCCCCTCACTGGGGAGCGATGCCGGCTCCTGGATTCAGAGAGATGCATCTCTCAGAGGTCGGCGTGACAGGTGTGGAGATTTAGGGCCGGAGGAAGGAGCCTGTTTCCTTCGCCATCTCCTTCATCCCATGACATCTGGAGCAACGGCCTCCTGTGTTCTTGGATGGTCTCTGTTAATAAAAACAAAATTTAAGGAAGTTATTTAAGGGATTGGGGAGGCAGTAAAGCCCTCTCCTCCTGCCTTATATTTATAGGCCTGGATGGAACATATCCCTAGCAGATGATGAAATAGAGGCAAGTACATATATATCTATATCTCTGTATACACTCGGTGCTCTTTTCCCGAGCATCTAATACCAAGGAATGATGTAGGTGAAGAAGGACTTTTCACGCCCAAAGATCTCCTAAACAGTGATTTGTACACATGGAGAATATTATGGCCCTCCGAGGATTTTCCTTGATGCTCATTAAGTTTCCTCTTTGTGGCATATTTCAAAGATTTTAGGCGTGGGAGCGATAAGACTCATTTAAACTGAATTACAGCCCCAGCTGCACAGAGCTCAGGCGCTGTCTTCACTTTTGCCTGACTCTCAGAATTGTGTGCCATGCCTGGAAGAAACTGGCTCACGATCTGTAGAGCGAGGGCCGGGAACTTTTGGTTTGGCCGTCGAGGGCCGCATTGGGTTTTTTTTTGGGGGGGGTGTGTGTTTCTGATGGGGGTTGCATACTGGCAGTGCGTGAGACTGTAGTCGGGAGCACCCAGTCATGCAGTGGGTCAGCGCGTCTTGCTGTTAACCAGAAGGTTGATAGGGACGCGGGTGGTGCTGTGGGTTAAACCACAGAGCCTAGGACTTGCCGATCAGAAGGTCGGCGGTTCGAATCCCCGCTATGGGGTGAGCTCCCGTTGCTCGGTCCCTGCTCCTGCCAACCTAGCAGTTCGAAAGCACGTCAAAGTGCAAGTAGATAAATAGGTACCGCTCCGGCGGGAAGGTAAACGGTGTTTCCATGCGCTGCTCTGGTTCACCAGAACCGGCTTAGTCATGCTGGCCACATGACCCGGAAGCTGTACGCCGGCTCCCTCGGCCAGTAAAGCGAGATGAGTGCCGCAACCCCAGAGTCGGCCACAACTAGACCTAATGGTCAGGGGTCCCTTTACCTTTAGGGAACCTTTTATTTTTTTAAAAAAATAAAAAATAGAAAAACAAACAAACCAGAAGGTTGATGGTTCGAGCCTACCCAGGTACAGCTGTGGGGAGGCTTCGTGTGTTCCAGGGGGTTGGACTAGATGATCCTCAAAGGTCCTTTCCAAGTCTAATTCTTCAATTTTTTTCTTTTTCTTTTTTACAATTCTATGATTCTAAGGAGGTGATGGTGTGTGGGCCCAAAGCAGGGTGAGACCAACCTCTTTCCTCTCTCCTTCTGTCACCCCATCTCTTGCTATCGCATCTCATATTTCCCATTTGCTCTTTCTGCTGCCCTGCCCCTTCTCTCTCCCACTGTTCTCCCCTCTCCCTACCGCCTACTCCCCTTTCACCCTCCTTGCTACCATCATGAAATAACAACAACAACAACAACAACAACAACAACAACAACAATATTTATACCCTGTCCATCTGGCTGGGTTTCCCCAGCTACTCTGGGCGGCTTCCAACAGAATATTAAAAGCACAATAAAACATCAAACATTAAAAACTTCCCTAAACAGGGCTGCCTTCAGATGTCTTCTAAAAGTCAGATAGTTGTTTATTTCCTTGACATCTGATGGGAGAACGTTCCACAGGGCAGATGCCACTGCCAAGAAGGCCCTCTGCCTGGTTCCCTGCAACCTCCAGAAGGCCCTCAGAGCTGGATCTCAGTGTCTGGGATGAACAATGGGGGTGAAGACGCTTCTTCGGGTATACTGGGCCGAAACCATTTAGGGCTTTAAAGGTCAACACCAACACTTTGAATTGTGCTCGGAAACGTACTGGGAGCCAATGTAGGTCTTTCAGAACTGGTGTTATAAGGCCCAGGGCTGTATGGAACTGAGTTCTGCAGTCCCTGCCCACTCCCTGAAAGCATTTTGCCTTACGTATATAAGGAAGCAATTCGAAAGCACGTCAGGTGCAAGTAGATAAATAGGTACCACTCCAGCGGGAAGGTAAATGGCATTTCTGTGCACTGCTCTTGTTTTGCCAGAAGCGGCTTAGTCGAGATGAGCGGCACAATCCCAGAGTCGTCCACGACTGGACCTAATGGTCGGGGGTCCCTTTACCTTTACCTTTTATATAAGGAATGATAGCAATGCAGGAGGTAACAGACCAGATCAAGGCCAGTTCCAGTGGTCCTTGGGTTATGGGCAGCAGCCTAAGATGAGCCAGGACTCCAAAAGCACAAGGAAAGCCTGAAGAGCAATCAGGGCTGGAGAAGAAGCCGATAGCCAGGACTGAGGGGCATCATAGCAACTCAGGAAGGTGCCTTAAACTGTGTTCATCTAGCCTAGTTTGCCTACAATGACTGGCAGCTACTCTTCAGGGTTTCAGGCAGGGGACATAGCCAAGCCTACCTGGAGATGCTGGGCATTGAATCTGGAGTCTTGCACTCTTCCCACTGCCCTTCCTTCCTCTCTGAAGGAATGTTGTGGCACCTGGGACTATATAAGGTTATACAATCACGCCTGACAGGGAGAAAGTGGACCGAGAAAAGTTTTTCTCCCTCTCTCATGAACACTGGAACTCGTGGACGTCCAATGAAGCTGAATGTTGGGAGATAAAAGAAAGTCCTTCTTCATGCAGGGCAAAGTTAGACTGTGGAACTCACTCCCACTAGAGTCAGCGATGGCCAAGAATGAAAAAGTGAGAGAAGCCAGAGCTCAGGTCAATCTTCTCACAGGAGTGAGCCTTGAGTGGGAAAAAGAAGCCCTGTATCCTCTCTCAGCGCCCAGCAAAGATGCAGTGACCCATTCTGAGAACCTCTTTGTTGAACTGGGGCCTTCAGTTGGGCCTGAGTTTTCTTGCTTCCCTGGCTTCTTGTCGACGTTTTGTTCCTTTGCTTCTCCCCCCCACCCCACCCCACCGATCTCTGTTAATTTTATTTCCCGTGTACTTTGTTTTATACGCTGGCGCTTGGTTTTATTTCGGTGTGTGTTTTTATCGCTGCATTACGTTTATATTCTGCCATTCTGCTGAGGAGCTGAAGGTGGCATGGCTGCATCTCTTTCCCCCCGACAAACACAAACATGGATAACTTGCCCTGTGAGGAAGGCAGGTCGGTGTGAGAAAAAGGGAGCTGCCTTTCCATGTAGTCTAGGAGAATTCCTGACTATTACCATCTTATTTATTTGCATCCTGCTGTGTCCCCCGAAACCGGGATTCAAGGCGGCTTGTGAAAATTAACAGAACCAAGGACTGAAAAAGCAAATGTTAAAAACATATAAAATATAACAGTGTAAGCAAATGTACAGCTCATCTAAGTCTTTATAGAACACTTCTTCTCAATAATTATTCCTTCTCACAGGTATGGAATACCTTTCTACTTACCTTTATGATTCGTACAGGGAATCTTTCCCAGAATCATAGAATTGTGGAGTTGTGCTCTACAGTGGTACCTCGGGTTAAGAAGTTAATTCGTTCTGGAGGTCCGTTCTTAACCTGAAACTTTTCTTAACCTGAGGTACCACTTTAGCTAATGGGGCCTCCTGCTGTTGCTGCACGATTTCTGTTCTCATCCTGAAGCAAAGTTCTTAACCCAAGATACTATTTCTGGGTTAGTGGAGTCTGTAACCTGACGCGTCTGTAACCTGAGGTACCACTGTATATTAGTACTGTTATCATTCCAGGCTGTGACGCTCTATGTCAGTGGTTTTCAACAAGTGTGCCCTGGCACTCTGGGGTGCCTTGAATGGTGGTCAGGGGTGCCACGAGCAACACTGGCCTCTGTCCCTCTTTCCTTCCCTCCCTCCTCTGATGCCCTCTTGCGCCTCTGCCTCCCAAAGGCTTGCATAGCTGTTTGTTGCAGTAGCCCTGGCTACAAAGTCCCCAGGTGAATGGTGCCTCTGGGGCTGGCCAGGGGGTCCTTCCCACGCCCCTGTGGGGCAGTGTGAGGAGGCACCTCTCTTTGGGGCGGGGGGGGCAGCTCAGAGACCAGGGGCAACTATGGTGGCTGCCCAGAACACTCCCAAGGAGAGGGAAAAATGGCTGAGGGAACACTCCACAAGGGAGGGTGTTCGAAAAAGGGTGACAGGATGCCAGCTCTGCAGGCAAGGGATGACATAACTGGGCTCCTGAGCCCCACAGTTGTGCCACAGAAAGAACGTAGTTGGTCAAGGGAGCCATGGACCCAAAAAGGTTGAAAACCTCTGCTTTAAGGTTTACATTCTCTCCCCCCCCCTTGTTTTCTTTCTCCTTGTTAGGTCACATCCATTGCACATCCAATTTTGTCTCTGGCCCTGCCCACGACTGGCATGTGGTCCCTGAAAGGTTGCTCAGAAGGGAATTTGGCCCTTGGGACAAAAACAAAGAAGCTTCCCGTCCCCTGATCATAGGCCACTCACCTCTACAAGAGGGAGGAGATGCTGTGCGAAAGGTTTTATTTGTTTGAAACAACCTGATGTCTTTTCCTCAGAGTTTGTGATGCAGATGGAGCCTGGCTTTGAAAAGGCAAAAAGGCATATTGTGTTGAGAGAGAGAGAGAGAGAGAGAGAGAGAGAGAGAGAGAGTTGCTTGTTGTTTTTTTAAGATGGGTAGGAAGAAAAACACAAACCGTGGCTCAGACCTGTGGCAAACTGCAATTAATGACCCGAACACTTTCCCCCGGAATGAAAAATTCGCCAATTCCTCGAAGGATGTCTGGCCCGAGTGAAGCAAATTATTCACCACCCTATACATATCCAGAGTGTCGCCATCAAGCCTGTTTATCTGGCAAACAAACGGTTGCCCCCGAGGGCTGTCCCTCTGCTCCCGAGCCATCAAAATGATCCTCCTTTCGTTGCCCCCCGCAACCAGGCTCTGAAGGGGAGGAGGGAATCAACCTCAAAAGGACAGGGGAATACGTTGCAAGGATGCTCAGCCCCTTTTCGCTCTGCAAGTTGTAGGCATTTCTCTAGCAAACCTGCGGAGGCTCCAGATATTTTGTTGGACTACAATTCCCATCGTCCACAAACCCTGACCGTGTGGGCTAGAGCTGATGGGAGGCTAGAGCAAGGTTGGAAGGAGCTAGGATGCTTCTCTGTGTTCTAGCCTGGTGTCCAGGGTGCACCAAAGACGGCTGTTGGAAGGAAGTCAGAGGCCAAGACTTGTACTCTTCAGCTGACGCAGAATTCAGCAGCCAGGTTGTTCACCGGAACAAGACAGTTTGAGCATATTACACCAATCCTGGTCCAACTGCATTGGTTTCTGGGCCCGATTCAAAGTGCTGGTTTTGACCTATAAAGCCTTAAATGGCTCAGGACCACAATACCACCAGGACCACCTCTTTCCATATGAACCTACCCAGACCCTGAGATCATCTTCTGAGGCCCTTCTTTGTGTGCCTCCTCCTCGAGAGGTCCAGAGGGTGGCAACATGAGAACGGGGCCTTCTCTGCGGTGGCTCCCCGTCTGTGGAACGCTCTCCCCAGGGAAATTTGCCTGGCCCCTTTATACACTTTTAGGCGCCAGGCAAAAATGTTCCTTTTTAACCAGGGCTTTTGGTTGATCTGATTTACCTCCTATGCCCTTTAAAAATGTGGAGTTTTTTGGGGGGAGGGGGGCTATTGGATTGTTGTTTTTATCTTTATTAGTTATTTTATGGTTTTATATCTTGATTTTATTCTGTGAATTGCCCTGAGACCCCTGGGTATAAGGCGATATAAACTCAGTAAATAATAATTATAATAATAATACTCTGCTTTACACAAGCTCATAACTGAAATAACTTTGCACGGTTAGGCTTCTGCTGTTGAATGAAAGTAATAAAAAAAAATCTTTAAAATAAGTAAATTGCAAACCAGTGTGAACATGTGGGGAACTGAACTTAAGACAGGAAAAATGAGGAACCGGGAGAACCCAAAATGGACAGATTTGTGCATCCCTACTTGGGATGCCCAACAACTGGAACGCATCAATGTTGGTGTCGTGGAAAAGAGTGTCGGATAAGGACCTGGGAGACCAGGGTTCAAATCCTTCCTTGGCTGTGAAGCTCATTGGGTGACCTTGGGCCAATTGCTGCCTCTCAGCCAAACCTATCTCACAGGGTTGTTGTGAGGATTAATCGAGGAGGGGGAGAACTACCTAGGCCACCTTCAGGAAAAGGTGCCATATAAATGCAACAAAGAAGTAAATAAAATACTGGACGTTGTATACCAGGGATTGGCAAACTTTTTCAGCAGGGGGCTGGTCCACTGTCCCTCAGACCTTGTGGGGGGCCGGACTATATTTTCAAAAATAAATATAGTGGTACCTCGGGTTACATACGCTTCAGGTTACATACGCTTCAGGTTACAGACTCCGCTAACCCAGAAATAGTGCTTCAGGTTAAGAACTTTGCTTCAGGATGAGAACAGAAATCGTGCTCTGGCGGCGCGGTGGCAGCAGGAGGCCCCATTATCTAAAGTGGTGATTCAGGTTAAGAACAGTTTCAGGTTAAGAACAGACCTCCGGAACGAATTAAGTACTTAACCTGAGGTACCACTGTAAATTAACAAATTCCTATGCCCCACAAATAACCCAGAGATGCATTTTAAATAAAAGGACACATTATACTCAAATAAAAACACCAGGCAGGCCCCACAAATAACCCAGAAATGCATTTTAAATAAAAGGGCACATTCTACTCATGTAAAAACACGCTGATTCCCGGACCATCCGCGGGCCAGATTTAGAAGGCGATTGGGCCGGATCCGGCCCCCAGGCCTTAGTTTGCTTACTCATGTTGTATACTGTCCCTGGGACTGGTTAGCACCCGTTGATAAGCCTCATCCTTAAGGTGCGGGTGGTGAATCTGCTCTAAAAACAGCTTTTTCCCTCTCTTACCATCACTGCAGAGTGAAATGTGCAGAACGAGGCGCAAGAAAGGAAGATGGAAGTCAGGAAACAAGTAAACGTAAAAGAAGTGATGAAAAGACGGAATTGTTTTTAACTGTTTTTTCTTTTTTCTTTTTGTATTTTGTATTGTGTATTTTTCTTTTTATTCTTAAATTTTTCTTTGTTATTAAAGTGATTCTTTTCTTGTGAAACTTTAATAAATATCATTTAAAAAAAAAAAAGAAAGGAAGATGGAAGTCAGAGCTGCACCACTCCTTGGGCTCGATTTACGAAAGCCAGGGTGGGGGGTGGGAGGCTGCCTTTTCAAAATATTTATCTTGCCTTGTCCCGGCTGGATTGACTGTAAGCTTATGGAAATCACGGAGCAGCCACACAAATGTTAATCACCCCCAAGCCTTTCCAGGCAGTGTTTGCTTTGTAAGCTCCATCTCACTGTTTACACACAAGGAGAGATGACTCGAGAAATCCTGCCGGGGCTGCTGCTGCTTTTTATTTTTATTTTTTTAGGGGTGGGTACATAGAGGCTTAGTAGAATGAGCAAGATGAGGTGAACAGGCAGTTTAAAGATCTCTCTCTCTTTCTTAAAAAAAAGAACATCTAAATCGAGCTAACGAAAGGGGGTGGCTGTGGTTTCAGGAAAAGAGCTATAGATGCAAGAGCATCTGATCTGCATCTTCAGATCTGGTCCCCGGCACCTCAAGGCAGGGCTGGAATAGACTCCCTGTCTGAAACCCTGGAGAGCTGCTTCCAGTCAGTGTGGGCAGCACTGAACTAGATAGACCTCAGCTCTGACTTAGGAGAAGGCAGCTTCCGAAAGCATCCAGAATTTACTGAAGTGGGCCAAGTGGTGTCTCTGAGCATAGAATTGTAGAGTTGGGAGGAACCACGCGGGTCATCTGGTCCGATGCAGGAATTTTTTCCAGCTCATCATGTGGACTAGGAACTTGATGTTGACTTTAGATGGCAATCTGGAGTCTGTATGGACTGACATGTCCGTGAGTGGGAGGAGCCTAGCTTAATGGTAGAGAGCATGCGCCGTATGGACAGAAGGTCCCGTGTGCAATCTCTGGCAATGCCAGAGAAGGCTGCGAGAGACTCCCTGTCTGAAATGCTGGAGAGCTGCTGACCATCTGAGGGGACAGCACTGAGCTAGCTGCACCAAAGGACTGACTGGCTATAAGGCAGCTTCCTATGTTCCTAAGGAAAGGGCAATAGCTCAGTAGCGGGACACCTGCTTTGAATGCAGAAGGTCCCAAGTTCATGCTCTGACAAGACAGGACGGGTCATCAATGGCTGCAAGCAGATTACAAAGCATCCTGCTTCACAAACCCATTCCTCCACTGTTTCTTGAAGGTCTTTTCATTCTGGCAGGATTTTATTTTATGAGGAAGATAATGTTTTACGATTTTTTTTTTTTAAAAAACTCTGTTGGGTCTTATTCACATCCACATCGTGCCTTGTATCCAACACAAGTCGTATTCAGACTAGACCCATTAAAATAATCAAGGTGACTAATTCGGCTTCATTAATTCCAGTTCGTCTACTCTGGGTGAAAAACCTAGTTGGCGATAACCCCCTCCATCTTAAGCACTCTTAAAAGCCATGGCTCCCCCCGCCCCCCATTCTGGGAACTGCTGGTGGTTATGGATCCTGAGAGTTGTGAGGAGAGTTCTTCCCCCACAGAGCAACAATTCCTAGCACCCGCCACAAACCACGTCTCCCACGAATGTTTGAGAGAAGTCTTGACTTTTCAAGTACAGTGGTACCTCGGGTTACAGATGCTTCAGCTTATGTGATTTCGGGTTGCGCACCGCGCCAAACAAAGAAGTATCGGAAAGGGTTACTTCCGTGTTTCGGCGCTCGCGCATGTGCAAAACCACTAAATCGCGCTTTGCACATGCACAGAAGAGCCGAATCACGACCCGTGCGTGTGTAGATGCGGCGCTGCGGGTTGCGACCGTTGCGGGTTGCGAACGTGCCTCCCGCACGGATCACATTTGCAACCCGAGGTTCCACTGTATTATTTCTTTTTTATAGTGTTATATGAGTGTTTTAAACCCCCCCCATATCTATAAAAGTTTACCTGAAATGTTCTCTCTCCTGTGAAATTTTTTGAACACATTTATCTTTCCTTGTTAATTGATGGATGAAATTATTGGCACAGAGCTAGCATGTGACAGGAAGTTGCTCCATGTCCTTCTCCAAGAAAGGGCGGCCATTTTCTCACGAGCAACTTCCTGTTTGGGGGCTGGCCTGGCAGGTTGACTGTAGCGTAGTGTGTTTAGGAACGAGGGAGCCTGGTCTTGTGGATGCGGCATAATAGCAGGGAAAGTGCAGCAAACATCTTCCCAACAATTTCCCCAATAATTTCAGAGGAGAGAGTGCAAGAGAGGAGGGATCTTTAGCCGGAGCCATTTCCTGTGCTCTTGGAGAAAGCAGCAGCGGCTTTCCAGGCTCCTGGAGTGGAGGGGAGCCTGAGAAACCCAGGCCCTGACATCTGAAGCTAATGAGTGTTGGCGTATGAAGATGCAGCCAAACCGAAAGCTACATCCTATTTAGCTTTTAATTTGGATGTTCATAGAGTGGGTTTGCAAGACCCTTCCCACTTTCATCAGCGCATTTAAAATGGATCTGACTGATAGGAAATGACCTGATGTGGAACCGCATTACTTATGAACTTGACTTGAATACCATCCCTTCTCCTTAAGCAGATGCATTGAAAAGATTCGGCAAGGCATTCCAGGGCTGGGAAACACTTTTCGCCAGCCCTAAGTGTGTGTGGGGGGGGGGGCAGGGAGAAAAAAGAAGCTCCTTCATTTCCACCTTGAAAAAAGGGATTGGAGCAAACAAGGACGTGCTTGTGGTGAAACCAGATGTTGCAGAGGACTGACCAGGGCAGAAAGAGAAGTCTCTAACACAGAAGTGGGGAACCTTTTCTTTTCCAGCCTAGGGGCCACGTTCTCCCTCAGGAAACCTTCCAAGGGCCACATACCAGGAGTGGCTGTGGCCACACACATGCCACGCCTCATCCATACATCCACGGCACCCTGGCACCCTCCAAGGCATATCCCAGCCTGGTCAAATCATGAGAGGAGGTTGTGGAGCAAGGCCAGCGAGTTGTGAGGCCTACGCAAAGCCCCAAGGGCCACATAGAGAGGTCCTGAGGGCCACCCTCTGCCCGAGGATCCTCACCCTGTGCTAGCAAGAAGCAGGTTTGCCTTGTTCCCCTGTTTAATTTGGGACATTCACTCATGATGTTCGATGTGTGTAAAATCTGTGAGCGTGGAGGGTTCGGCTGTGCAGATCGACAAGTGTGCATTCTTCCACACAAACACACTGGCTTACGCCTGTGTTCGGTGTCGCATGCCAACAAGCCTAAAGAGGGGTCCGTCTCCCAACCCTCTCCACTGGATCTCGCTCCTAAATCACTTCCTTAGGAATTTGATTCTTTCCCCTCAGACCAGGGGGTGGTAATTGCTACCGCAGAGCTATTAAACGCAATCACCGAGCGATCTCCCTGCATGCCCAATCAAAGTGCAATTTCAAACTCAGTGACTCGGTAACCAAGTTGTCTTGAAAGGGGGATGTGGGCTTCTGAGCCCTGAGAAGTTATGTGTGCTGGTTTTAAAGGGGACCAAGATTCAACTCTCACAATACGCCAGGCGGCAGTGGTGGTGGTGATGTTTTTATTAAGATACAAGCCAAAGCCTGGGGGATTTTACCTGCCTTGTTCCTCAGATGGCTTTACTCTTCACCTGCCTAATCCAAGAATCCAAGGAGTCCCACATGCTTTCTTCCCACAAGCCTCTTACACATACCGTTTTCCTCTGAGCAGTCAGAATGTTTGTTAACCTTCCGTGACTTCCATCACAGCTTTATCACAACCGATGGGAATGAAAAATTTGCCAACTGGTAGGTGGCCGTCGGTCCATGCTTCTTCCTCAAATTTTGGTCTCTCTCCCCCCCACCTCTTTTTAGTGCCCAAGCCCCTCCCCTTTTTGCCAGTGGAGAAAACCCCCCACTATTTTTAAGCAAATCTATGTGCTCAATATTTTCACGACCACACCTTATTTATATCTCCACTGCCGAGGTAAGTTCTCCAGAAGGTTTGCACAGGAGGGTTCAAAAGGAGACCTTTCCGGAAGCCTCTTGTGCTGACCATTTATCTCTGAAGAGTTGGAATGTTTGTGCAATTTTCCTGACATGCATCAGAGCTTATCAAAGCCTCCCCATTTTGCCAGTTGGGAAAAACCACTTTCACAGCCAGTTTCATGGGCTTGCAGTGTGTGTGTGTGCGCTCAGGAAAAGAAAAAGATAAATCTGTCCATTTCAGGTTCTCAGTTTCCCAATCTTAAATTCAGTTCTCCACATCAGTCTGCAATTACAAAAAAAAGTCCATCTAAAAACCCATCCGCATTTTTGTATGAATTTATCTCAATATATGCATTTTTTTAATGCAATTTTTGCCTATCGCACATGTTTTTCAGAAAGCAATTTCCTAGAATGTAATGCATTTTTGGGTGTTATTTTAACTAATCAGTGCAATTATTATGCACTGTGCCCCAGTATATGCATTGATCTCCACATTACTTGGCTGGAGAAACACATTGCAAATTTCAGAGAAGTGTGGATTTCAAAGGAAGGCGGTGATCCGGTTTGCAGATTATTTTGGAAAGGCCAAATCACATAGATCCACCTTTAAATGAAATGGAACAGAGTCTCTCCACCATCCTTAGCCCGGGATGGAGGATAGTGGGAGCCTAGCAATATCAGCCAAGCATCGCAGTGGTCTTGGACCTGAGAGGTAAGGGTAAAGGGTAAAGGGACCCCTGACCATTAGGTCCAGTCGTGGACGACTCTGGGGTTGCGGCGCTCATCTCGCTTTATTGGCCGAGGGAGCCGGCGTACAGCTTCTGGGTCATGTGGCCAGCATGACTAAGCTGCTTCTGGTGAACCAGAGCAGCGCACGGAAACGCCGTTTACCTTCCTGCCACAGCAGTACCTATTTATCTACTTGCACTTTAATGTGCTTTCAAACTGCTAGGTTGGCAGGAGCAGGGACCGAGCAACGGGAGCTCACCCTGTTGCGGGGATTCGAACCGCCAACCTTCTGATCGGCAAGCCCTAGGCTCAGTGGTTTAACCCACAGTGCCACCCGCGACCAGGGTCCAAATTCACACTTGGCCATGAAGCTTACTGGGTGCTCTTGGCCTAGTCGTGATCTCTCAGCCGAGCCCACCTCACAGGGCTGTTGTAAGGATTAAATGAGAAGAGCTATGTATGCCACCTTGAGCTCTTTGGAGAAGGAGCTGGGATACGGATGCAGGAAATATGGAACCCACCACCTTGACCTTCTTATCAAGGGGCATCTCTGCGTTCACCATCCCCGCCACCCTCCCCAATCTTGACACCTGCTCCTCACATAGATAATCGCCCTTCCTCTTCAGATTGGGCTCCGGCAGCGATGTCATAAAGCGTCCTTATCCATCAGCCCAGACTCCACTCGGGTATATATATATAAAGAATTGATACTTGGCTCTTGGCATAGCGCAAGAAGTCTATCTCTGATCCTTCGCGTAATGAAATGCCCTCTATGTAGAGTGAAATAGAGTTTAAACGAATGCTCCGCGGAGCCCCTGACAAGCCGTTTAACAAGATGTCCAACATCCCATTTCCTCAGCGCTTCCTTTCCCCTTAATCCCTTTGTGCTGAAACGCACGCAGGAGTAAGCACGTGTGAAATTGAGGCCTCTCTAATGCACACACACACACACACACACACACAGAGCGCGGAGCGCAGCACCACGACAGCTCGCCAAAATAGAGTGTCTCTCGGCCTCGTTCCGTCAAAAGGAGCCGGCGCGGCTTTCATCACAGCGCCTTCTCCCCCCCTTGCAAGAAGGCCGGGGGGCTCGTGTGCTCCTGGAGCGAAGCAGAGACGTCTCTCTCAGAGTTTGGGGATTAAGAGGCCGAGATCCCATCCTTGTCGAAGGAGAAAAGGTCTCTGAGTTTAGGGTTTCCATAAAAGACTGGCCTCTGTTTGCCGCCACCGCCACTTCACACCCAAGATGGGGGCAGAGGATCTGGGGGCTGGGGCTGGGGAAATCGGGTAGATAAGAGGCAGAGCGAAGAGGGTGAGTCAGAAATGGGGCCATGGGCAGAGGTATAGGATATGCAGGCACCCTGCAGGAAACTGGGATGGGCTATCCACTCTTCACAGAGATAAAAAAATTGCCCAGTAGCACCTTAAAAAGGTAAAGGGACCCCTGACCATTAGGTCCAGTCGTGACCGACTCCGGGGTTGCGGCGCTCATCTCGCTTTATTGGCCGAGGGAGCCGGCATACAGCTTCCGGGTCATGTGGCCAGCATGACTAAGCCGCTTCTGGTGAACCAGAGCAGCGCACGGAAACACCATTTACCTTCCCACCGGAGCAGTACCTATTTGTCTACTTGCACTTTGACGTGCTTTCGAACTGCTAGGTTGGCAGGAGCAGGGACCGAGCAACGGGAGCTTACCCCGTCGCAGGGATTCAAATCGCCGACCTTCTGATCAGCAAGTCCTAGGATCTGTGGTTTAACCCACAGCGCCACCCGTGTCCTAAGTAGCACCTTAGTGACCAACTAAGTACAGTGGTACCTCGGGTTACATACGGTTCAGGTTACATACACTTCAGGTTACAGACTCCGCTAACCCAGAAATAGTGCTTCAGTTTAAGAACTTTGCTTCAGGATGAGAGCAGCAGCAGGAGGCCCCATTAGCTAAAGTGCTGCTTCAGGTTAAGAACAGTTTCAGGTTAAGTACGGACCTCCGGAACGAATTAAGTACTTAACCCGAGGTACCACTGTAGAGATTGCTAGAGTTAGCTCCATTTTTTTAAAAAATGGGCTTGTTCACAATCCTTGAGGGAGAGTAGAGGTCATTGACTGGCCATGAGATACCCCTGAGGCTGTTTCATCTTCTGTGAGTTCATGTTGCCTCATTTGGTCTTCCTTCCTTTCTGAAAAGTAGTGAGTGAGCCTTTCATCTCCCTTAGCTTTTCATTAATTTCAAAGCTGTATGTCCTAGGTCTGAAAGACCTCTTCCTTCCCTACAGACCCTCTCAAGTGCTGAGATCAGCAGATGGG